CTCCAGGGTACCAGCCACAGCCGTGGCCGTTGGAACCACCAGCACCTGGCCCACCACCAGGCCCATCACCAAAACCAAACCCTGGTCCAGCACCTGGCCCATCTCCATGCCCACCAACACCACCTAAGCCTCAACCAAAGCCACCACCAGCACCTAGCCCACCAATACCACCTAAGCCTCAACCAAAGCCACCACCAGCACCCTCACCTGGTCCATCTCCATGCCCACCGCAACCACCAAAACCTCAACCAAAGCCACCACCAGCACCAAGTCCATCACCAAAGCCACCACCACCTAAGCCACCTGGTCCGAAACCTGTGCCACCACCTAAGCCATCGCCAAAACCTAGCCCACCTAAGCCACCTGCCCCATCACCAAAGCCAGCCCCATCACCACCTAAGCCACAGAACAAAACCATACCGGCTGTGTTTTTCTTTGGGGATTCGATCTTCGACACAGGAAATAACAATAAACGAGACACAAGGATAAAAAGTAACTATCGTCCCTATGGTATGGATTTTCCTATGGGAGTTGCCACCGGTAGATTCAGCAATGGAAAGATCGCTTCCGATTATATTTGTCCGTACCTCTCACTCTCCTTTTTCTTTTGGCCAAAGTTTGGCACAACATGTGTTCTTTCCGTTGAGATTGACTTAATTACTTTTTCTCTTTGTTTCCTGATTCTACTAGCCAAATATTTGGGAGTGAAAGACATTGTACCGGCATATTTAGACCAGAAACTACAACAAAGCGAGCTACAACAAAGCGATCTTCTTACGGGTGTATCTTTTGCTTCGGGTGGTGCTGGCTACATTCCTGAAACATCTGAAGCAGGGGTAATTAAAGATCAGTTCAATCCCCTAGATCATTTCAAATTTTTGCACCGTTATATTAATTATCATTAATGTACTGATGGATCGTTGATTTATGTAAAAATCAGAAAGTAATACCAATGTTGGACCAATTGACATACTTCCAAGACTACATAGAGAGAGTGAATAAGTTAGTAGGAAAAAAGAAGGGCCATCAAATAGTATCCAAAGGAGCAGCCATTGTGGTCGCAGGAGGCAATGATATAATGTATACATATTATGGAAGTGGTGGTCAACGCGAAAAAATTGACGTCGACACTTTTACCACTGTCATGGCTGATTCTGCCGCTAGTTTCGTTTTGGTACGTATTTTTTGTTTTTTTGATCAAGTGGTACGTATTATTTTTATATACCAAAGGTAAAATTAAATTTAGGATCAGGTTTTCATAATGCTTTTAAAGTTTTTTTTTGTTTTTAATACTGTTTCTTTAAGTCGAACTTTGAGATTTCTAATTGTTCTTTTTTTCCTAATTTTGATTGGTGGCCGGATTTTTTTACCAGCGAAAACTCGAACTAAACTTAAAATTTTGAGTTCACACGCAAATTTTCATTTGGGTTTAGACGAAGATGCACTAAATATTAATCGATTTTTATATATATAAATAGAGTAAAAACTATTATAAGACTACGTCTATTAGAACATCTTTAACGCAAAAAACACCTTTGGG